TTTGTAAGCCAAATTCTGCCCGGCTAGATATTACTTCTAATATTCATTGTTAAGTTATGCCGAAACAATTTTTTATAGTTAAGTCCACATAACCCGAAAAAATGTTTCCAATATACACGATAAATTCTGGAAGTCGAAGTGACCGTTGCCAGTATCACTATATACACGTAAATTGGAGATGTCAATGGCATCGCTAAATATATATCCAATATACAGGCACAGAAGTCGATGCTAGAGACACATGCGGAATCTCGTTGAACCACCCCGTATAGTAGCATTTGAGATGCCGGTCAATAATTATTCCCAGATACCTTACGAATTCGGCTTCTAAAATGTCTGTATCGTCTTCTATCTTCAGCGGACCAAGATTCGATAAATCATTACTGTATGACTTAAATGATATCGAGTCTTATCCACACACCAAAACCACAACACAACCATCACGAAATCGCTGTCTATGCAATTTTGTCAGCACAATTTTTTTTTTATTAATTGTATTATATACAAGGTGTTTTCTAACTGAATGTCAACAATTCTTGGGGCGATTTTTTGGTCCATTCTAAAAAGAACCTAAACGTCTCACTTTTGAGATACAGGGTGGTCAAGTTTTTAAAAATAAAATATATTCTCTTAATATCTGTAGTACCACTTGAGATATTTTAATTATATTTTGCACACACTTACTATGTATCAATAGGCATAATTTAGTGTAGCACATTTTTTTTTAAATACACCAGTTGCGGACGTACGGAATTTCAACTGTTTATTTTCGCCGACATTGATGGTACGCCACTGCTTTTCTTAAAATAAAAATTACTACTACAATCTCCAATCATTTCTAAAGAAATTTCATTTCTGCATTTTTTTCAATCGCATGTACTTTTTTCTCATAAAAAAATAAAAACTTCTTCTCTGCATGGTCCTAACAATAGCAGGAAGAGAAATTAGTTTTTATTTTTAAAACCGTGCGACGGACTAAAAAATAGTTAACAGATCAAATCTGCTCATAAATGAATGCAAATGTCATTATTTTTAAATCAGTGGCGCGCCACTGAGTGTCTATGAACAAATAATATTAAAGTTAAGACCCTTAGGACAGATGTTCATATGAAGTTTTCATTTCAAAATGGACCCAAAAAACCGCCCCCATAATTATAATATAATAATATAATATAAACAGCCTCCCAAGTACAGTGCCCCGATTTACAGCTAACCATCTCTGCACCTTTGCTAGACCGACCCATCTACATCAGTGTGCTAATAGCGAGAAAACTATGCAGTAGATTATAAATAGATAGATCTTATCTAAAAATACGAATATCCTATTCTGTATCGAATCTAATGTATCGTAAATCCGCTCTGAAAGATCACAAATTGTGTCCTGGGTCGATCTTTTCTGTCTATACCCACACTGTTCGTATTCGTATTTTTATTATTTTTTCAACTATTTTTGAAAATGCTGACAACAGCGAGATGGGACAATATTTTAGTTTTGTCTCCTTCTTTGTACGTGCGCTTGATTATACCAATATTCAGATGGTCAGGATAAATATGGAAATACTCGTAATATTTCATCAGTCGCCTGTTTCACAGTTTCACTTCTTATGTTATCACATTCCATTGGTTTTCTTTGGTTTTCAATATTTAATAAACTGTTGTACCGCGAACATATTCGTTTCATGTAAACACATTGTATTTGCTGCATATTTCCCGCCAATACTACTGTAGTGCACAATAAAATTGTTTGAAATGTGAATGGTATCAGTATGGCTTTTATTGTCATCTGTCTCTATTTCATCTACGTATTCCGCATTCTCACAATGCTGCAGAAGAGCTGTTATTTCTTGCTTACATCGAATTGTATCACGAGCACGATCGCTATAAATATTATACCATTTTATCTTTTGTAATTTCAGTTTAAGTAATATTAATTCGTATAAGTTTTTACATCATTATTTTTATTTTATGTTGCCATTTTTTTTATTGAAAACACGACCGCAATAGGAAAATGGTCATTTGTGTTTTATATTTCGGAAAAAAGTAGTCGCAGACCAAATAACTGTATTGATGATTGAAGAAAAATAATGTGTATTTAAAATAATTTTCACTCAAAAAGTGTTGTGCCAAGCTTCTGATATTGAAGTGAATCATTCTAAATTTTCAATCTGTGTGTTGTGGATAAATAAAAATAAAGGTTTTGCTGTGTTGTTTGGCAAACGTTTTATAATGGGTGTTTTTTTTCGATGTATAGAAATTTAAGTTGGCATTACTGTTCAAGATGGCGACCGATCTAATAGCTGTCAAGTGATTTATTCTCAGTTTGGTTTGGCAATTCATCATGGATAGACTCACGCCTGAACAACGCTTGCAAATAGTGCAATTTTATTTTATTGATAACTCGCATCCCCAGAGACGTCGTACGGTGCGTACAGAAGACGCTATTGCTGCTGTAGAGCGTAGCATTGAGGAAGGCCCAACTCGTGGAAGAATTTAAGCCAAACGATCATCAAGTAACGCGTAGATTCATCGCATGAGCCCAAAACGAGATTGCCGTTGTTCCCGATTTACATAAGCGAATTTTGTTTAGCGATGAAGCGCACTTCTGGTTGAATGGCTACGTCAACAAACAAAACTGCCGCATTTGGAGAGAAGCTAATCCTGAAGTGTATGTCGAAACACAGTTACATCCAGAAAAACTGACTGTTTGGTGCGCTTTATGGGCTGGTGGTCAGTACTTCTTCAAAAACGATGATGGCCAGAACGTTACAGTCAATGGTGATCAGTATAGAGCTATGATTACTAACTGTTTCATTCCTGAATTGAATAACCATGACGTCCAGGAGATGTGGTTTCAACAAGACGGCGCAACATGTCACACAGCTCGTGCCACAATCGATTTATTGAAAGACACGTTTGGTGACCGCCTAATTTCACGTTTTGGACCTGTAAATTGGCCTCCAAGATCTTGTGATTTAACACCGCTAGACTACTTTCTGTGGGGCTATGTAAAGTCATTGGTCTATGCAGATAAGCCACAAATGCTTGACCATTTGGAAGACAACATTCGCCGTGTTATTGCCGATATACGGCCAAAAATGTTGGAAAAAGTCATCGAAAATTGGACGTCCAGATTGAACTACATCTGCGCCAGCCGTGGCGGTCATATGCCAGAATTCATATTTAAAATGTAATGCCACAAGATTATCTTTCGGATAAATACAATTCATGTCAATCGAATAATCCATCGTTGTTTTAATGCAACTTGAAGTTCTATACATCGAAAAAAAAACACCCCTTATAAGAATCCATCTTTTTTCCCATCACACACGAAAGTAACAAACATCAGACTCACTGTTTTTGACTATTAGTGTACATACGAATTAAATACTTAATTATAATAATAATAACACATAAAAAAATAATAAACGACTTTTATTTCAGATACTAAGATAACACAGTGACTGACACAATAGTACACAACAAAATTAAAAACGAAATTGATTATGATGCCCTATCCCAGCTACGAATTTTTAAAGCATGGTTATAACAAATGCATGAGAAAAAGTGAAAAAAAAACAGAAAAAAATCTCTACAACAAACTGATGCAGTAATTCTTTCTAATATTTACTATTAAAATTTACCAGGTCATAATATTTTACCGCGTTACACGTGGTTATGAATGTTTTGAATCCTATGTTCACACGCTCACCTTCATTATCTAAACAAAAACTATATACAAAATTACAACAATTAAAATTTGATTGGACGAGGGACTCGCGCGACCTTTTCTTTAACTTATTACTGCATAATATTTTTAATGCAGTATATGCCATTTGAAATATGCTTTTTAAATATTCAATTCAATACCCAAGTTATTCGGATTACTTTCGAAGTTCAGTACTGTTCCGTCAATTGAAATATGTAAAGAATTTTTGATCCCATTGCTCTTATTTTTATTAACAAACACTGATATGGAAGATTTTATGGAGTTTAACTTTTGGAGAGTTCACTCAAAGTTTGTGATTTATGTTCTGTTATACCTCAAAAATATCCTATTCGTCAAAACAATAATAAATTTGTGTATCATGAGCAAACGCTGCAATTTTACATAAAGTTAATGATTTTAGAATGTCCGAAGTATAGACACTAAATAACAGAGGACCTAAAACGGACCCCTGTGGCACCCCCGAGAGTTTTTGCGCCTGAGCCGAAAATTTATCAGTTGAGGATATTATTTGCTTTCTATTATTCAGATACGTTGACATAAGAGTAAAAGATTCATTAGAAAATCCATAATATTTGATATTAGAAGTTGATGATTGATTGCTTCGAAAGCCTTCAAGAAATCTAACAGCACAAGAACGGTACTCATTTTCTTATCATACGCTCGAACAATATATGTAATGTATGTAATATGTGTAATATATTTATCGATATATTGTATACAGTAATTTAGCATTAACGGTGATACGTCATCCAGGCCAGTTGCATTTGCTTTAATACCATTAAGCACCTTATTTACTTCTGTTATTGTTGAAAGCTTAAAAGAAAATTGCAATTATTGTAAAGATTATTGTTATAAAGTTATTTTTTTCATTGATTTCGGAAATGTTTTCAATAACTGTACTCAAATAAATATTTAAATTAATAGGATCAAAAAGTCTGTTGACTATACTCTGATTGCTCTTTATTGTCGACCAACTTTTTCAAATATTAATTTCCCCACATATAAGTTTCTTAAAAAATGTCTTTAACGCAGTGTCTTTTTCCCTTAAAGATCGGCGTGGTGGACAAAGATTTGACAGAATCGAGAAAGCTCGACGTTTCATCTAATAACAAGATTAGGAGGTATGAAGAATGTGTTAATCTTTCTGGAGACTACGTTGTTTATATACTCTGGTTGTCCCATCAAACTTTGAAAATTGTCTGCTCGCTTTTTGCCCGTCGTTTATTATTTAATGAAGAAAGTTCAATCCAATTACAAAACTTATTCGTTTCAGGATCATCGAGTTTGTTGGGAAAGTCCGTGGAATCGGGAGAAGGGCCGCCCACGAGGCCTTCGTCGCCTGGAAAGCCGGTCTTGAGACCCTATTTCGATGACGTCGGCCCCAAAAATGTAACCGCCGTTGTGGGTCAGTCCGCCATGCTGAACTGCAGAGTGAAACATCCTGGGGACAGGACGGTGAGTCAATATATTTTTTTAAATAATATGTCGCAGATCTAAAAAAGTACTAATTCGGTTGTTGCCAAAGTTTTGAACCAGCCAGCCATTATAGTAATTACAAAACCTCTAGTGAGCTATCCAGGAATACCGAGCCAAAAAACAAAGGTAGATCTGGCCAGGGTAGAAAAGAAAAATGCATAGACTTTAAAAACAAATTTTATTTATATCGCGATGAAGTATTTTAACAAAAGCTAGCATTTTGAATCATTCAAAGTATAATAGTACCGTCTTCCATTACACAAAAGTCCTGGTTGTTCATATTTATTATTAAACAGGTCAACTTCGCTTCAGTCTTAAGAAGTTTCTGTTTACGTACCGGTATTTATTAAACATACCCCTTCACAAACTTCCCCTTCTCTTCTGCATATGCGAGTTACTCCGAACATAGCCGAATACGCTTTATCTTGAGCATGCGGCCGACGAGGAGTTTCCGCGAAAGCCCGAATGAGAACGCATGCGCCAACCCGAACATACCCGAAGATTCAAAATGTTCCCGCGGCAACCCGAACACACCCGAACATACCCGAACACACCCGAATATACCCGAACCGGCACTACTATACTACTATTCAACAAAGCCATAAAACCTCAAAAATGTTATTAGCACAGATTTTGTTATTGACGTTCCTAAGAACGAGTAAATAAAAGCTTATATGGAAGTAAGAATAATATGAAAATAAACAATATAATTGAAAAAAAGATCAAATATTTACAATGAAATCAATGTAGCATGCACCTGATGCAAAAGCAACAAAACTAGCAAAAGATGAATTTATAGAAAAACGTTCTATAGGAAATAGAAAAGAGAGTTTCTTAATAAGGGATTTCAACCCACGGCACAAAGAAGGATGTTGCGTTGGTTCAGCTTCAAACTATTAAATATATTTTACCAGCATTGAAACATACACAAATATAAACGGACACCACCAACCTCGCACTAATCATCGATTAGGTCATAACAATGCGACAATTCTACAAACCCATTATGTCAAAGTGGAAAAGGGGGCGACATGTGACTCAGACCATTCTTTTGTGGAATAGTCAATAGTCAAATAGTTGTCTTTGCTTGGAATCTACTCTAAATCAAGAATCAAAACCAACCATTGAGAAGTTTTATGTTCAATGCGCAGGTTTATTGTAGATTTCGGTAAAATTAGTGGCAAAAAAGAATCTAATCGAAATCAGCAAGTATTTGACCCAGAGATGTCGGTGTTAAACTGATATCTGCTGGTTTCTTAAGGTTGTTTTTTGGAAGAGAAAATTAAAGTTTATGCTGATATCAACAATTTTGATGCCGTTTTAGATACAATGCATCTAGAAAAAGTCGATCTTGACTAGATTCTAATTAAAGTCAATTAAGCTGATTCTTGATGCTGTTTTTATACAAAACAAATGAGAACGTATGGAAAATGGAATGAAATAGGTAATAAAATACCAGAGATACCTAGGTACAACCTAAATGCTAACTAACTATGCTAACTATACTAAAACTATACGATATAATTTTTATTAGCTCCCCACATGACATGTTCGATGCATTTGCTTCATTTTTCACAGTCACTATGGAACTTTCGCAAAATCGTTATAATTTTATCGTGCATGCACCCTGTATAAAGTGACTTTCTCGTCTCACCGAAATTAAAAGTCAGGGCAAACTTTTTTAAATATTAAAATTTTTCTTGCTAATTGCGATATAAAATATTTTTCCAATGATCTCGCGTACCCTGTATGATAGACAAAATAGACAGACAAAGCCTGAAACGCTTTCTCGATACAGTTTACGTTATTGTTTACAAGAAATTAACCCATCTTTTGCCGTTATTTATTAACAGCCAATAATTTACCCACAAAAGCAGAAGTTGTCAAGATTTTTGAGTTCTTTTGCCCATAAACGACACACTCTGTATATAATTCAAAAGATGAAGTAGAGGCCATAACCCTGGATCTACATTTTCGGTGCATGGTTTCCGAGAAAATATTTTTTTTCTGATACTATGCAGCAACTTAATACGCAATGACGTCATCGCGACTAGACTGAACATGAGAAAAAGCGATTGCCATATGGATTTCATCAAATATCTCGTGCAGTCAATTACCCACGTTTTACACTTATTTCCACCGTAAAAGAACAATTTTTGTCAATAATTGACAAACCCTGTATATATTCGAAAAAATGCCTGAAGCAAAAGTTTCAATATCGGATCGGCTCAATAGTTCTCGAGAAAACAATTTTGGTCTTGAAACCAGAATAATCAAAAAAAAAAAAACAAAAATTTTTGAAAAAACTTGCAAAGACACGTAATACATTTTTGAATATACCACAGAATATCCCGAGCACCCTGTACAATATGTGAAAACTTTAAATACAATAGTTTTAGCTGCCCATACAACAACTTAAACGCAGCTTTCTATTTATTTTCAATTATGATTATAGGGAAAACTCAATTTCCAGTTGTTTACAAATTAACAACGCACTCAGTACATTCTTAAAAAGTTATCAAGAATAAAGGTTTTTGGTGCGGGTCTTGGGCATCTTTTAGTTCAAGAAGTTTTTAGATAACAGATGCAGAAGACAAATGGCTATCCAAGCTGCGACGTAATAGAGTGTGGTAAGATCGGTAAGATCGGAAACTAAAAAGCAAGGCCATCACGTATTAATGAATGAGCAAAATACTATGTCAACATCAACAGGGAAAAGTTAAAAGAATTGGTTGAATATATTCAAAATATCTTTAACTTTATGATTATAACTTTTTAAATGTTCTAAACTTGACTTAATAGTAAAATTACTTAATAACCAAAACCAGTAATGTAAAGACTATATAAACTATCAGCCATGTTTTAAAATTTTTTTAAATCATTACGAAAATGTGAAGAGGATTTGGAACGAGAGAGACACTATTCAGTATACAGGTTCTTGTCCAGCACTGTTTGGATGTTAGTGTAGGGGGTTTCGTGGGGCACAATAAAGAAAGATAAAGAAATGGAAGTGATATTCATATTATTGCAAATCAATATTGGGGCCAAACAGCGGCAGTCAACTTAAATTCAGAGAGAATATTTAGTGAAGCTCTGGACGACAAACAAGCTGGGGTAGGAATCGGCGGGTTGAAAAGCATTAACCTTAGATAACAAATCTGCAAGAACTGTTAGCCGCAGTCACCATAGCGAATCCATGGGTATCAGACTCAATATGGCTCTTCAATTTGACCATTAAAAATGAAGTAGTGAAGCGTGTGTCTACATACAAGTATTTTGACTGCCACTGGAAAGACAAACAGGAACTAACCTCCGAGGATAGGATTAGAATAGATCAATCCAAACAAGTCTTTAGGAATATGCAAATAATCTTGACCAGCAGACACTTAAATATTCCCATTACAATACGACTGCTACTTTGAAAGTTGCAGGCTCCCGAAATAATAGATAACATTACGAACATATGCATCGAATAAGTTTTAAACATTTTTAAAAGACAAGTACTACTACAATATTATGGAAAAAATGGAGTGTAAAATAGACCTAGGACGCAAACATCGTGGCTGAAAAAACAACGGTTTGTCCATAAGGTTTTCAAAAAATATGTTCTTACCAGCACCAAAGATCTTATTTATATAAAGTAGCAGAAAACTTTGTTATAGAACTATTAAACTGTTATAAATCTTAAGGTTAAGCCCTAAATGTCAGTTGGGTTATCTAAATAAGTCCAGATAATTTTTGTCGACTACAACCAAAATTTCAGCTCTTTGTGGGTTAAAATAGCAGCTAAGTAATTCTTTTGGTAGTATCAGATTTTGAAAAAAATATTGGAAAATTAGACTGAAAGCAAAGATAAAGCAATTATTGTACTCAAATTTTCAAAAATAATAATAATGACATAAATTAATTCGGTCGATATTGTAAGTGAAATATTGCTATTGTTTTCATCATCAATACTCTGAAACATTAGAATCTGCTTCCGCTAATCCAATGACTTAATGCGAGTGTCCTCAATCTCGTCGCTTGGCAGGATAGTCGGAATTAGTAGCACTTTCGCATAAAGTTTGTTCAAGACCGTCGGGTAATAAATTCGCTTCGTTAGACTCGGCCAAATAAGATGTAGATGGAAGTTATCGTCCGTCTTTGTCTCACGCCAAATTGGATTCTAATCGTAACAGATTGACACAGATATAAGTCAGGGTGTGCTGAACTTTGTCCGGGCCAAGAAATGGGGGAGTTTATATCGGAATTATGCAATAGGGAACGATTACTTTTGTGTAAGTTGCGGTTTTTCGGTTAAGCCGAACGAATTGGTCAAGCTAACTTATATACCAAAACTAGGTCATCCGCAATAAAATTTCAGAGCTTCCGAAAATGTAATTTTAGAAAGGGTCATTTTGTTCTTGTTTTATTATAAATTCTTACGCCTACATTAATGCAGATAAGACATGTGAAATATCTAACGAAAAACAAATATTACCGAAATGTTTCTTTCACAGGCTACCGCAATACTATTTACAAATGTTCTGATCGGTGGTTTATTAGAAATAAAACACCTTTCATCTGCCCTTCTCTCTAATAATTCCCACATTAGAGATATTAAGCGTTCCAACGCAAAATACACTTCACCAGAACCTTAGAAAGACAAGTAGTCCAAAAACAACCCCACACTTGCCATTATTGTCTTTGCTTGCAATCAAATATTACTGAACACATATCAAAAGTTCTTAAGACATATAACGTCAAAACTAGATTTACCACTTGTTCAAAAATCCATTCGATGCAAAGAATACATTGGATAGACCGGAAGAAAAATATCAACTAAGCTAAAAATACATGAAATAGCTTTAATACTACTACAAGTAAACTCATCAGCAGTTGTCGAACAAAATCACGAAACCGGACATCAAATATTATTTGATAAAATTCTTGCATGCAATCAAATCTTCTGCCAACGAAAAATCCTACAACCTACAGAA